TTACATTTCGTACTCTTCCCGTCCTTGAGCTGAGGAAACGAATGTTCCTTACGTTCTTTTAAATACTAAAATTAAAGAAGTATATATTTCAGGATGATTTTCATGACATTTGCTAATATTTTAGGCCATCATTAATGTAAGGAAAATTTCATACATTTTAATCATGTATTATGAGTTACTATATTTACATTTATTTATTAGCTTGGGGATAAAAAAAAAGTATCCCATATCCTTTGATATGTTTTACAAATAATATCTTACATTATCAATACTCTACTACAAACTATCAAAAATTTTTTTAATATGAAGCTAATGTTTTTAGAATATGAATTACATTAAAATATTTACGATGAATATTTTGGTATCATAGTGTGTTGTGGTGACATGAAATTAGGTTTATTGATATTTAAAATTGCATTTGAAAATATAGCAGAAAATTATACAGTCAAATCCGCTAAATTGCATATCGCTTATTCGCACATATTTTTCAATGCGAAAAATATCTGCCATTTTATTAAAATCAACAATGGCATAGTGTTATGACATATTTATTAATGTAAATCGGTTAATTGCGTACTAAAAATTTTAAGTCCCATTTATATGTTAAAAACGATATTTTTATCAATTTGAGATTAGCACTAAATAATTAAAAAATGATTATTGAATTTACTTCAATCATTTAGATTCTTATATCTGATGGGTTTTTCTTTTTATTTGAGACTAGGCGCTTAATTATCACATACATGTAATTATTATTTTATGCTTAAATTGTTACTAGAAAATTTTATTTATAGAATAGAATCTAAATTATTACAATGCCAACTAAGAAAATTAGCTACCCAAAAACAGAGTCGCTTCATAAATTTTGTTTGCAGAGATAAGAAGCCCAAATTGCAGCCTAAATGGTCTTATCATGCTAGAGGTAGAATTTACGGCAAAACATTAGATTAGGTAGTTCTAAATTTTATAAATATCTACAATTTTTCTAATTCTAGAAGTCTACAGAGATTTGGTTCGAACTGAACCCGAACCCGGAGAAGAAAATCCGGGTTTTGGGGGAAAAAATTAAACCCGAATCGAACCTGAACCCCGTTTATAAAATTTTGAAACCCGAACCGAACCAGGAAATTTTATTTGAACCCGGGTTCAATCGGGTTCAGTGTATTGTCTAAATTAATATAAGATATTTATATAATCGCAAATACAAATATTAGTAATTACTTGACATTTTATAATATTTTCAAATTTCCATTTAAGTGAAGTGTTTTTTAAACAACTTAATTCATTTACTCCATTTTTAAAATTATCCTATTGGAGTGTTAATAAATTTTAAACCAATTAAATTCATTTACGCCATTTATTTTTAATTTTTAACTTATATTCCCAAAGATTATTAATTAGAGGAAAATGAAAGTGAACAAGTCAAAGTGAAAATTATTACATTGGATATTGTTAATTTAGAGAAATACGTCTAAATAAATGTTTTTAAAATCTATACATGACATTGCTTTGTATTTTTAACTATAATTTTTTGCCTATAAATAAAATAAAAAATTTATTTTTTTATACCAAATTTATGTGTAGTTTTTTTTAATTATGATTTAAATATAGAATATTTTTTTTTATCAATTCAGAAGGCTGAACCCGGAACTAAACCCGGGTTCAAAAATATTTCCCTAAACCGAACCCGAACCGAACCCAGGCCTAAATTTTGCCGGGTTCGTATCGCTGGATTTAGAAAAAGACAAAATTTTAATTTCACACAATTTGCGATGAAAGAGGGAACACCTATCTTGGAAAGTTCATTTATTTTTTATTATAAATAATAAGATTTATTTAATTTTCTGAAAAGGTATAATAGTGCCGAAAGTGATTAATTGAATGATATTATAACCCAAACCTGATTATTTAACCTAAAGAAAAACTATGAATGAATATGCCATCTTTATCCAGTACGCATGCATCATATGCTAACTTATTAGAAGGTCCAAGAATCATTAAGAAGGCTAGAAAGTCATTTTTAAAATTAATTTATTTTATAAAAATTATATATATCTGTTGTTTATATATTCAATAATAATAAAGAAAAATAAAATATCATGTGCATAATTCTAATTTTGCAATTCATAAATTAAATATCAAAAAGTTTTCAGGTAAGAAATTAAAAACATTTCTCAGTGAGTAAAATTGGATTATTTCACTCATTCGATTTATTCATAGAGTGATTGATTCTGATTTATTTAACAGGTTTCACTTACATAAATTAAAAGATTATCTTGAGGAGTTGTAAAGATTTAAATATACAAAAATAGTGTTTTGCTAAACGGCTAATCTAGAGCCTGAGATTCATTATAAACGGCTAAATCAATATTTTAACCAGAAAACACTTGCCTAAGCATTGAAATTTCGCTAATAGATGTCACCCTTTGTACCATCTATAAGCGAAATCTTCAGGCTTGCTTAATACTTTTGCAGATAAAATATTGAGTTAGCCATTTTTAAAAATAAGAAAGAAAGAAAGAAAAGAAAGAAAGTAGCTTAAATCGAGCAGTTTAACAACACAAATACAAAACGTTGTAAAGAGGTAACACAACCAATATTTTTCTTTCTTTCATATATATTTATTAAATGTTTTCTCCAAAATTATTGGTTGTTTAAAAATTTGTAAAGAGATCTAAATATATGATTTATGTATTGTCTTAAACAACATATCAAATTTATATATATAATATCTGGAACAACGCAAATCATAATTAAAATAAAGATTATTATAATGATAAATTAGTATAATATTAATTTAATTGAAGTGTATATAATATATAATAATTTAAGTATGCCAAAATTTGTGAATTCTTCATCTAAAAAGTAGCATCAACTTTAATTTGGTGGCCATTGATCTTCTTGACCCGAAATCTGATTGAACATCCTGTGCTTAGGCTATTTTTCTCCCAATCATAACGTTGGCGTTAAAAAGGGAACTTGGGTCTCAAGCGATAAAAGACATCAAAAAATTAATGACAAAAACGAGAATAAACATGCGCAGAAGTCGAGTAGATCAGTGGCCACTAAAGCAAAAGCCAATGCTACTTTTTAGATGAAAAATATAAAGTTTGGCTTATTTAAATTACGAATATTATATAAATATCCAGATTAGACATATTTTTAATCATATTTAATTTTTTTTAATAAACGCAATGTGTGTACGTTAAAGGTATAAATTTGATAGCTAAATAATATATTATTAATAATAACATGTCCCAATTCTCCATTTTATACTGGCCTTTGACACGATTTTTCCCGAGCTTATATTGAAATTTGCAAACTCTGAATTAGTATTCAAAATATCCTATATTATCATTTATTATGCATTTACACTAATACTAGCATATAAATATTAAGTAAAACAATAAAAGACATTTGGTAAGTAATAGATAATTTTTTTTTATATATAAAATATTTGTCTACATTATATTATTTTATATTTGCGATTGCAGAATATAATAAAATTTTGCAAGTAAAGAATTACAAAAGTGATTAAAAGAAATTTTCCTTTTTCCTTCTGTAGTGATTAGCTACCGAATACGGGGATGGATACCTAAGAATCATCAATCCGGATTACGTGGTTTTCGGAGATAGAATGAAGTTCTAGAATGATGGCCGGTGTTATGGATTTATATTATTGATTATGATGTTGTTATCGGAATTTATATGAATAATATTATTTGGACAAATGGTTTATTTGATTCCAATAAAGAAACAAAATAAAAGGGATCTGAATAAGGAAAACAAAAAATAGTGAACTTAAATGATTGTCTGAATTTTGAAAATGGTGTATAGAGGCGACTTTGAAACCGGCTTATGCGATTCATTGAGCGGCTCATATAGTCATAATTTTACGACTCGAAATCGATTTCAGAGTGGCAAAACCAAACTTTTTATCGACACTACATTCCACTATGCTCATGTAAGACGTTGAGAAATTGCAATTATAAAATTGATAATTACTAAGTGGAAATATCGCGGCCGAAGGGGGCGGAATATTTATAGAGGTAGGTAGAGGTTTTTGAGTGGGGTGGCCTGTCTCCAATAAAGTTTCTGTTCTGTAGACGCTGGTCACTAAGATTTTTAAATTTAAATATTTTTAGGGAATAAAATTTCATTCAATTTTTATAAGAACAATTTTTTGTTAAATGATAAGCCTTGAATAACCATATTTAAAGTTTCATTTATGATTGAATTATTTGTATTAAAAAACCTGGCTGTGAACCCTAACCCTAGATATTTTACTGCGAACCCTGGGCCCACATGAACCCTAACTCGGTTAAAAGATATTTCACGAACCCTTTTAGAATGAGGGAGTTCACAACGCTGGCAAAAAAAAATGATATTTATTTTTCTAAAAAAAAAATCGTAGCTTTTGTAAAAATCATAGAAATGTTGGTAACATAAGAAAAGAATACGAAATTTTATATTATTTTGTCTTCTTAATAGATAGAGGGTCGGGATCCAGGCTGAGCAAAATAAAATTTCAAACCTGGGTAATTCGCACAAAAGAGCTGACTGAACCTATATCTTTTGAATTAGCTTAGAAATAAGAAACGTTGTATTTTTCCTTCATAAAAGCCAGGAAAAATAATTCACAAACTGAACCAAAAAAAAAACATTTTAAAAATTCCAAGGACGAGATTAGACTGATTTCTAATTCCCATGTTATTTAAAGGTATTCTAAAAAAGCACCCAAGCCATTTTTTTTGGATCAGGTTATACTCAGACCTATTTCTAAAATGAGTTTGGATTGGACCAAAAAAATCTTTGAAACAAGTTATATTAAATTGGCAAGACAAAATATTCAAGTCAAATCTGAACCCAAAAAATTGTATAAGACCAGACATGTGCTACTATATATATATATATAATACTTTTATTTTATAGTAAAATTAAATTATATACATGACTATAATAAGTAACGTTATAAACATCATGATATAATGTTTGTAAAATGTAACTCAAATTATTTACTGGAGCCAACATGTTCGCAAAATTATTTATTGTGTATAAAAATAAAATTACAACTTTAATAAATTAAGAATAAAAATTTTTCAAATTAAGTACATCATAACACATCGATTACGTATCACGCAACACGTCAGTCATCTAACATCTGATTCATTCGCGGTGTATCAAAACGAAAAGCCCTAAGGTGCCTAGCAAAACGTACTAAAATAAAAATATATTTTGCAGAGTTTGAATAATTCTCAACAAAAAAAATATTTGGAGATCAAAAATATTTGATGATTCTAGAGAATTTCAAACTGATATTTTCAGGGTTGCACCATATAAAACATGTCCATTATAGTGCACACAAATTGAGCGTTTACGCTTTGCCCTAATTTATAAGTAAAAAAAGGTAACGCGTCCCTTGTTTAAATGGAGGTTGTTTTTTTAAATTAATATCCGTCGATTAAAAATTTTAAATAAGTTCTAAACAAAAATAAAAGGGATTTGTCTTTGAAAATTATATTATCGTCTGCCTTCTTATTTCTTTAATTTTCTAAATATTCCTTTTTTAAGGATTATAAGTAAGTTTATTTAGATTACATTTTTATATAATATTACAAAAGAAAAAAGTAGTGAAAACAAACCTATTTACGTTTTTTAAATGATTTCTAACGCCAAACGGTAATTTTACCAATTTTCACGAGGCAATTTGAAATGCATTAGTTGCGCTTGCAACGCATGCGCACTGTTAGACAATTTTTTTTTAAAAAATCAAATTGGCTGATATATTTTAATAATATAAAAGGTAAAATATTTTTTATTTTATTATGCAACTAATTTTTCCTTTAACATAATAAGTCTTCATAACTTGACATAAAGAAAGTGCGATGGAAGGCACAGGGTTTGGCACTAATGTGAATACTCGTAATTTTAAAATACTAAATACAAATATTATTTTTGTATCAGTTCAAAAAACATCTTCGAAAAATAATTTTTAATGATTTCAAGCCGTATCAAATAAATTTTTTTTTTACTAGGCAATTTTAATATTTATATTTAAAAATTTATTTTTTTTCTAGAAGTTTTTTTTCGAAAATTAGCCCAAGCACGAGAAGACGCCACTTCTGAGCCATATTTTAATATTTTTTTAAATTTACCCTGGCCGAGCCTAAAACTTTTTTTAAAAAAGATATCTGGGCCAGGCCATATATTTTAAAACCAAATATTTGAAATCGCCATTATTAGCTGTAAATATCAAAAATAAATAAAATATATTTTTAAAAAAATCCGAGCCAGGCCTGAAAAAACCCCAAGCCAGGTCTGAAAAAACCTCAAGCCGGGCCGTGAGAAAAAAATCCGAGCCAGGTTGGGCCGTACAAATGGTATCTCTGCAGGTCTCTGGGGGGTTTTTTTTTTATTAAGAAAGAATTTATATATAAAAATTTATAAAAATCATGGGAGTTTATATTAAAAACTTTGGTATGTAACTTTGGATGTTGTAATAATATTCTTATCAAAAAACAACTTTAAATTTTTATTTTTTATTATGTCAGAAATAGGGGTGTACCGATACCACTTTTTGGAGGCCGATCCGATCCGATATTCCAGACTTTAAATTGATATCGGCCGATAACCGATCCGATATTATATCTAATTTTGTATTTTGTAAAGATACTAATGGTTTTAATTTTGTAATATACTTTTTATCAGTATAACATCTATAATTTAATTATACCATAACTTATGTCATTTAAATATATTATAATGATCAGTTATAGTTTATATTCAATTCTATTGCAATTTTAAAAGTATATAAAATATTTTTATTGTTAAATCACTTTTATATAATAAGTAACAACAAGTAATAAACAAATATATTATGAAATTTAAAAAATATTTAAAATAATATTTAACATTAATATATAGAAGATTTCTTTTTAGAAATATCAAAATTTCCAATTTATCAGAAATCAGCATGCGGCGATGGTAACTGTCAATGTCAATAGTTTCACTAAAAACAGATTTCGCACACTTTTATAAACAGAATGCGCAAAAAAATAACAATATGGCAGAATGTTTATTAATTAATATTATTATTAAAAAAATTTTAACATTTTATTTTTGTTATAAACGCCATTTTATATCAAATAGGATCGGATCGGCAAATTTTATAATATTGACCGATAACCGATATTTTATAATAGGTGAAATATCGGCCCGATACGATCCGATAAAAAATATCGGTACATCCCTAGTCAGAAATATGGAAAAATTTCAATTTATTCTTAACAGATAAAGATACTTTCGCAAATGTGTTATTTGCAATGCCCTAATGGAAAAAAAAATCTATTTAATTCAAAAAAAAATTTATTTAAGCTTTTGGAGAAATATTATTGTTTTTCTATAACGTATAAAAAAAGATATTTTAACGGTGATGTTAAACGGCTCGTTTTGAGCCTATTTTTAAAAACGGTTAGAGAAGGGAAGGATGGAAGGTAGGAAGGAAGGTAAGGAAGGAAGTAAGGAAGGAAGGAAGGAAGGAAGGAAGGAAGGAAGGAAGGAAGGAAGGAAGGAAGGAAGGAAGGAAGGAGAAGAACGAAAGAATCAATATTTTCGGCAGAAAAAGATTGCCTAAACCTCGAGATTTCGAGAGTATATGTCTAGACCTTTGTTCCTTCTACGAGCAAAATCTTCAGGCTTGCGTAATATTTTTCTGGATGTAATATTGAGTTAGCCGTTTTTAAAAATCGGCTCAAAACGAGCCGATTAATTATACTAATTTTATAAATACAAGCCTTTATCTACAAGTTAATTTGGAGGTAAGACATATTTTTAAAATTTAATAAAAGCTCAACTCTTTTTTATTTGATCTTAAAAATGGGGGATTAGTGAATGTTCTGGCTAAAATGCTTTTAAAAAAATTTTTATATAGGTTTTTACATTATATAAAATAATGAATGTGTTGGTGGTATGAAGGCCATTTGGGATAAATATCGGATTTGTGCTCCCGTAATCATCATGTTTGAATATAAATTAGGGTTAAAAAAAAATAATTGTATCATTTACTAAGCACATATCAGAGACCAGTAGAGGAACCATTTTCACGGGCTGGCTTTTTGTTAAAAATATCTTTGGGTCAGCCCAAGTCGGATTTTTTTTGGCCACAGACCGTTTTATATTTTTAGGCCACGCATGGATATTTTTAAAAATATTTTTATAGCTATAATGGCAATATAAAATATTAGGTTTTGACATATAAGACCCCAGCCTGGGTATTTTCTTTTAAAAAAAATTCAGGCCCAGCACGGGTGTAACAGGAGATCCAGGTCTCTGGTATATATAAATCTTATTTATATAAATAAAAAAGATTATCATGTTATCAATCTCATTCTTACCTTAAGCTGTGGGTAATCATTCATCCATATTGTAACCATGCCAATATAAGGTGCAAATCTAGTAGTTTTTAATTGTTAAAAAAATAAAATATATATATATATATTTAATTTGAAATTTCAAAAATAACTATTAACTCAAGTATCATTATGGGAATGAAAGTGAGGTTGTTTAAATTGTTATTTTCTATTTTAAGGGATGTAATATTTCTCTATAAATAATTTTTTATCAAGAATATTTAAAGTAATGCGAAATAAGATTTAATATTTAAAAAAATGGATAAAGTAATCAACATATTTTAATTTGTTAATATAAACATACCCTTTGGCTCGGCCAATAACATCTTTCTGCATTAACCAAAGTTGACCAGGTGCATATAACCCCCTATCATCTACCTGATTGTTATCACCTTTAGTCAAAAATTTCAAAGTTCCATTTGCTCTATGTAGTTTCATAAAATCATGATTAAAAGTGAAAAGATATTATCAATTGTATATATCTTACAGTTGAGGCCAGCCTAACATGTAGGCCATGAAAAATTATTTTTAGGCCAGGTAAAGAAGTAGGGTGATAAATATTTTCTAGGCCAGGCTATCATTTCACAATTAATTATTCTATGTCCGATTCCTTCATAGCATTTTTCTGGAATAGATGATTTGTGCCAAAATTATTTTATAGGCCAGGTAAGGCAGAAATAATTATGAGACTAAAAAATGTTAAAATATGTCCTATATTTTTATTGAATCAAAATCTTATAGACAATTTAAATTATTATTATAGGATCTTTTAAACTTAGATTAATAAAAAAATGTTAACTATTTATTGTGATTTATCTAAAAAAATTAATATATTAATTGAAAATTTATTTAAAATGTGTATTAATTAGAGATGTGCAAATCCTGGCCTGCTTTGACCAATTAAGAATTTTTACACAAGTTGCGTATTAATTAGAGATCTACAAATCCTGGCCTGCTTAGACTAATTAATAATTTTTACATAAGTTGCTATGCCCAATCAGTTATATATATTTTTTTAAATTTACCAGGCCTTGCCTATAAAATTTGCAAAACATCTACCCTGGCCTGCTATATTATTTTTATAAAAATTTTCTGGCCACCAGATTTTTAATATCTATATTTAATTATTTCCTAATCTCAATAAAAGCCCTTATATATCTCCTCAATGGCTATTTATTTCTGTCTAAAACATAAATCTATTTCTGATTAAGATTTGATAAGTTTTAAATCCTTACATGTTTTTTTGAAGCAAATCATTAACTGATAATATAAACAATTATTCTTATTTATAAAAATACTTTTCATGGACTTTAATGCATCTATGAACAATTGGTATCTCTCTACCTTCAATCCTAAATACTGTTATGTCACCAACTCTTATTGGTTTATCTTTGTCGTGAGTTAAAAAGAGTAGATCACCTCGATGAAATGCTGGCTCCATAGACCCACTAATAAAATGTAATGAAACACTAACTAAAAACTTAAATCAAACCTTAAAACAACAACTATAGGGCTTTCACTTCCAGTTAAAACCATTAGGCCTTTCCATATCATCAACGCTGAAGATACAATTGTCCCAAAATTTAGTATTTGATAAATAATCTATTTAGGAATAATCATAGTCAAATTAAAGCTAATTTTACTTGTCTTATGTTCATTCGTCTAACCTCATCAAAACAACTCATTGATGAAAGCATCGTGTATTTTTTTTTGAAACACGTTAGGATGGTTAAAGCTCCTCTATAAAAAACATAACAAACTTATTAATTAAATTTTAAATATAAATAAAGATTCTTAACCATTGATTAAACCCTTAAAGAATTCAGGAATTCCAATTAAAACAAGTAATAAAATAGTTTATCAATTGTTAAAAATAGTGCCTCAAGCCAAAACCAATACTGACATATATATAGATAAGATCGAAAAATGTAAATAGGTCCATCGAGCGTTGATTTCAGTTATGGGATGCAAAATGAAATTAAAAAACTGAACACCGACCGAGAAATAAAATAAGGACCTGTTCATGATAAATTTTGGCCTTGTGGGCATTGACATAATCGAAAAATATTTATTTCCTGAAACTATTCCAACAAAGATAAGAAGTGTCTCACTACATATTTATGAGCAGAATAAAACCATCTTTGACAGTCGATTAAACTTTATAAGGTTAATTTGGAATGACAATGAACCAATTGGAGAGTTCGCCAATAAGATCAAAATAACTACAAAAGCATGTTATTTTACGCAGACAAAAGTTGGCGGCCGGTTAAGAGTTCAGTTGGTTGCGTGTATAGATCTGCTGGGTTTCGAAATTGAACTTGGGGCTAAATATCCGTTAGCATTGGATAGGAACAAAAAACCCCTGACGTTTCAGTTTGTCCTAAATATGTCCGCGGCAACGGAAAGAGCTTAGAATGAAATGGTTATTAAGATGGACCGTGTGAGTGTAATCTATATTAATAAATTCGTGATAAAAATACCTACCTATCAAATTTTTTTTGTTTACGTTTTCTCTTTAAACATTTTTTTAAAAATATATATTTTTAAATATCAAGATCTACCTTATTGAAAATCTTTTGAATTCAAAAAGAAAATAATCTTATAAGTAAAAAATATCTCAAATATATAATGACGTTAAATATCTTTCTATATAAATTTGTTCATAATAAATAAGATTATTCTTTAATATTTATATATTTATATAACCTAGCTTTGTAAAATTCTTTAAAATAATATTATTAAAATATTACTTTACAATAAAAATAATAAAATTCTAATAAAAGGGCTTATTAATTTATATTTGCAATTTATTAATAAATTCTGTAGACCACAATTGTAAATTATTTTACCCAAATAACTACACTTTTTTTTATTTTTTATATGTGACAAAATGAGCATTAACGCCTTATGATTGCGATAATTATTATGAGAATTTATGGCTAGTATTAAAGGTAAATTAAGATTATAATATATTTAATTAGAATATTCGCTGATTTTAACATTTACTATCGGAACCATAGTGTAATTATATATTTTAAATAATAAATAACTATTATATTATAGTTTAATACTTTTGGCGTTTTTTGGATCTATTGGTTTGACATTTATAATACTTGCCTGTGCTTTGCAGCAATTTAAGTGATAAATATTTATAGGAATTATCATTTCCTTTTTTAAATAGCAATTGGTATCCTTTATTTGTCTTATTATTTCACACCTTAACTTTCTTGTTATATATATTAACACAACGCAATTCTGATGATTTATTTACTGGATCTGGAACATCAAATATATTCCATGAAGTTTGCTGGTTTTTGCTAGCAGGCTCTATTGTTTCATCATTTGCATTACCTCTTGTGTTAGCTGGATCCCCTATTCTTAACCCTGTGGTAAGTGTTTGTTTGATAATTTGTTATAAATATAATTTAAAATTTTTTGTAATATTATGTTGCTAGATGATTTTAATGCTTATTTGTTTCTATGATTTTTTAAAAAGATAAAATGGGGCGCTTGTGGTCTTACACTTGTTGGAAATATCCTTATATTTTTCACAATTTTTGCCTATTTTAAAGTATTTGGCAATGAAGATTTCAATTATTTGGCTTGGTGAGGATATGCTGAGAATGATATTTAAATGACTTGTAATTTAGCATTTTTTTTATAGTCAAATATTTTTTAATGTCATTTTTAGATAATATTTTTTACCAATTTTTTGTAAAAAAACGATTTTAGATATTATTACAGCATTGTGCATGCATTCTTCCTGACTATATTTTCATGTAATAAATTCTCATAAATGCTTTAGGCTCATGTTTATTTTATTTAATAAATTTTGTAAAATAATTATAGTAGTATATTTTAGTAACATAGTTCTTGATCTTTTATTACTAGATCCACATTTTATTCTATTAGCTTTCCCCAAATATCATTTTTTTACTAATTTTTTGGTTCACGTATTAAATTGCTAACAAAAATCGCTAAAAATTGGGAACCTGGCTATATCTCTTAGAAAATTTTTAAAGTAAATTTGAAATTAATATTAATAGATACTAGGGGACTAAACACCTGTATTTAAATTGGAAATTTAAAAAAAAATTGCTAAAATGGAAGAATATCATCCAAAATCCCAGTTTTGGGGGAATCAAATTGGGAATTTGGATGATATTTATTCCATTTTATCGATTTTTTTTAAAATTTCTAATTTAAATACAAGTATTTAATCCCCTAGTATTTATTAATATTAATTTACTTTAAAAATTTTCTAGAAGATATAAGCCAAGTTTCCAATTTTTAGCGATATAGAACCTATCCCAATTTTTTTTGTTGAGTGTAGTTTAGATTCATTTATCAAATTTCTATTAACTTAACTCTCTCATTTATTAAATGATATAATATAAAAAAATACAACAAAATATAAAAGTATTATAAATTTAATGACTATCTCTGAGTTTCTATAATCTATCCCATCATGAATTTTTTTTATATAAACTAAATATAATAATTATCAAAAATAATTAAATACAAATTGGTACATATTTTACTACAATACTTTTTAAATATTATTTATACTTATTTTAGCTGTTTGAATAAGTGCATCATTTTAGTGGTCTTTCCCATGCTTAAGAAAGAGTTATTTTAATATTAGGTTTTTTTTTCATCAATTTATTTGATTTTTTATTTGTAACTTTAACAAACAATATTATACTCCAAAATAACTATTATTATTTTTAAAACCTAAATTTCGTAACAAATCTTAAATTATAAGATTTTGTCAATAAAATATTTAAAATCAAAAAATTATTTTCCAGCTTTTATGCTCGTTTCTATATTTGGATTAGACTAGGCCAAAAGAGGAAAATATTTTTTTCCACTACTTAAGCCGAAGAAGCTGCTCCACCAAATAAATTGAAGATCATAATAATTTCTATATTATCACCAAAAAAACATTCTTTTTAGGATCTGCGTTACCCACGATTTAAGATTATTTGATAAGCAAAAACATTATCCAAACGTTTCTTATTTTGTTTTATTTTTAAATTTAAATTATTAATGCCAGGTGTACCATTCATTGTTACACTCAATCTTATATGTATGATTATTTATTTTTTTTGCAATATATTCAAGGATTTTTTTTGTCTAACATTAGTATCTTTAAAAGATCTTTCTGACTTTCTTGGTGAAAATATTTTAACTACATTTTTATTTTTTACAAATTTTATATAGTATTGGCCATTGATTTAAATATTCTCGGACACCATCTATTAGTTTATTCAATCTATCCTCACTAGAGATTAGAGCTCTAAATATGTGCGTGGATTAAGCATAGTAGCGCATTATTCTTATTCGATTCATTTTTTCGTTTAAACGAGTCGAATAATTTATTATTCGTTTAAATGAATCGAATCCAATAATTTACTATTCGTATTTGTACGAATAATTTACTATTCGTTTAAATGAATCGCATAATTTACTATTCGTTTAAATGAATCGAATAATTTACTATTCGTTTAAACGAATCCAATAAACTACTATTCGTTTAAACGAATCCAATAATTTACTATTCGTATTTGTACGAATAATTAAAATATATATTACAAATTTTTTTTATTTGCACATATAAATGTTTTAACAAAAAAAGAATCATTATAATTGGTTGATATTTGATATGCGATCAAGTTTTTAACCGATTTATAATGTATATTAAATTAAATTCTTGATGCCGAGTCAATTTTTGAGGTAAATAGTTGTTTTTTTCTTGTTGTTTGCGTTTTTATGAGACTCGCCATTTTTTTCTACAGAAGATTTAATTTCAACTAAGAACTTTTCCCAAACATTTAATATATATATATATATATTCTTTGCTAATCACACGGCACCTGTCAGATTGATAGGCCATCAGTAGAAATGACGTTTAAATTTTATTTTAAAAAAAAATAATGAAAAAAAATAAAAAATTAACGCTTCAATTTAAACATAACTGCATTTGCGTTTTTAAAACGCTACGCCGAAACGTTCAATTTGTTCACACTATAATCATTCCGAATAATTCAAATATTCGATCAAATTCGAACTACTCAAATGATTTGTCGAATAAAGGTTTTATTCGAATCAAATAATTTATTATTCGTCAACGAACAAACCGGTTTGATAAACTATTCGATTTGAATTACTAGAAGTCGATTCGTTTTAGGATAGATTAAATATATATGAGAAAACACCACCATCTATGGAGATAAAAAAAATAAAAATTAGATTTTTTTTAGGCTAACAATATTCCTCATCTTTTAACATGTTTTATTGATTTACTCCAGAATCTGGTTTATAGACTAGTGTTGTTAAACGGCTCGGTTTGAGCCGATTTTTATGAACGGCTAACTCAGTGTTTTATTCAGAAAAATATTATGGAAGCCTAAAAATTTAGCTCATAGATGACGACACAAAGGTTTGGACATTTATTAACGAAATATCGAGCCTTAGACAATATCTTTCTGGCTAAAATATTGATTTGGCCTTCAAGCCGTTTAACGACATTATGTTTTTATAAAGAATGAAACCCAATATTTCCAAATTGTAAATTTAATTTTTTATAAAAATGTTTAAAAATTTACTTTTTACTTCGTTTTAAGTAATTTTTTTGGAAAAAAAATGACATTTATATATAATATAAAAGTTAATTATTTTTTACAATATATAAATCTATACTTCAAATTGTGTTCTACAATTTAAAAATAAAATTCATGATTAAAATGATAGTTATTAAATGATAATTTCAAGAAATGACATTAAATAAATTTTAAATGTTATCAAACCATTTTCTATCTAGGTATATAATATATATAAAATTTAATGATCTTTACTTAAATAAATTATTAACCGGCGACTTAGTATTATATAAAATAATTAATATTACAATCAAATGCCGTTGTAAATTGTAACTAGGAGATTTGAAACTGAGATAATACTTTTTGGACACATTCTACATTTGGTAAGAATTGAATTAATTCCTTCAATATAGGATGTTACTGTAAAATATTTATCATATTTGGACCATTGTAATGATAGAATCAGATGATGATGAAGTTGAAATAATAATATCCATGCTTATGCTTATGCTAATAAATTAAAATATTCAAATTAATAAACTATAATAATGGCATGTTAAAGAAATTGAAATGTGAAAAAGGAAATACAGCTGATTAAAAAATATAAGAATTTTCAGTAAAAAATTCAGATTAATACTAAATTTTTCAAATAAATAAAAAGTGTTTTTAAAATTGAATGAACGTTAAATTCTAACGGTTCGTCAAAAAAAGGATCACGTTCAAAGTTCGTCAAAAACGTTTATCATTTTTTTTCAAAAACGAATCTCGATAGTCATAGCTTATAATTTTTGATCGACGTTCTAGACTTGAGGATGAGAGTATTCAAATGTTATTATTATTGAATTGCAAAATAAATAATTAAATTATATATTTAAGTCATAATGTTTATTTGTGGAAAAAAAAAGGTAAATATATTTTTAATAAAATTCTAAAGGCGTAAAAACTACTAACGCACTATTTTTCTGAAAACGCTAGCGGTATATAGGTAATGATAACGCGCTACTTTTAAAAATGTCTTCTAACAACACTGATGCCCCCCCTCCTAATAAACAGCCCCACCCCCAACTGAAAATTCCTGGTTACTGGCATGTATAATATACTTATTAGTTTTTTTTAAATAACTCATTTATAATGTAAAAAAATATTATAATATAATGGGGGGGGGGGCGGGTCAGAGGCTCGAGCCCCCTAAAAAATTTGAAGAGCCCTCAAAATTTTGAATTCTCTATACCAAATGTAAAAAAGTAATTTTTGATAATGTTAGCTAAAAAAAGGTAACCTTGAAAATAATTTTAAAAATTTTTAGCCCCCATAGATTATAAATTCTAATGATACACCTTGGTCACTTACTTTGAATATTATAATCGTGAGAATATCTCCCTTGAATTAACATAGTTGTTTCCCCATCAGTGACAATCATTACTTTCAGATTCCAAAATTAAACTGTCACTTCTAAATTTCTTTCCGTTTTCCAAGTCGTATAAACATCAATAACATGATCTCAGAAACCCTTAACATGGCTAATATTACAAATACCATAAAGCCAACCAGGGGCGTCGCTAGCCTTTACAATCTCAGGGGCCTCAACAAAATTTTTTTTAATGGAGAGGGGCTTCGCCCCCATTATACTTTTTTAAAATTTGCTAATTCTAAACAATTATTCTGAATTTCATATTTTGACATTTATTATATTTAGCATACAAAATAAACTAGCATATAAATAATTAAACATATCTAAAAATAATATTTTTTTAATACAAAATCTATTTACTATACAATGTTTTTAGAATGGACTTATAAGAAGAAATTTATAGGCCTTACCAAATCAAAAGAAGAGAATATAAACAACCAATTTAAAGCATAAAACTACATGGTGGTTAGAGCTTCCTCTTTGACATGATGAAAGCTAGATAAGTAATCGAGAAAATTATTGTGAGATTAAATTTATAAAAGATTATCTTCTAATTTTAATGACATATAAACGACTACACATTTGACCATTATTGCTTATCTAAAATATGCAATCATATGCTCTCAGCAGCTGTAGTAATAATCTTAAATTACATAGCCACACAAATAATAGATGCTGGTTAATTTACAGTCATAGCCATGACGCTCGTGATGGTAACCCATATCAGAATTTATTATGTTAGATAAATTGATGAAACAAAACACTATAAATCTTTAGAAGAAATTATGC